AGAATGGTAGAGAATACTTGCAAACTATCCAAAAGGGACTAATATCCTGAATATACAAATAACTCAAACAATTCGACAGCAAAAACAAAAACAAAAACAAGTAATCCGATTAAAATGTGGGCAAAGGATCTGAATAGATATTTCTTAAAAGAAGACATACAAATGGCTAACAAATGTATGAAAAATGTCCAACATCGCTAATCATCAGAAAAATGGCAATCAAAATCACAATGCGGTATCATTCACACTGGTTAGAATGTCTACTACAAAAAATACAAAAAATAAGTGCTGGTAAGGATGCATAGAAAAGGGAACTCTTAGACACTGTTGGTGGGAATGTAAATTGGTGCAACCAGTATAGAAAACAGTGTGGCAGTTTCTCAAAAAATAAAATAGAACTGCCACACAATCCAACAATCACACTGCTGGGCACATATCCAGAGGAAGGGAAATCCATATTTCAAAGGGATACCTGCACTCCTGTGTTTATAGCAGCACTATTCACAATAGCCAAGATATAATATCAACCTAAACATCCACCAACAGATGAATGGAAAAAGCAAATCTGGTATATAAACACACTGGAATATTATTCTGCTATAAAAATGAAATCCTCTCATTTGCAACAACATGGATGCATTAAGTGAAATAAGTCAGACACAGAAAGATAACTACTGCACATTTTCACTTATATTTGGGAGCTAAAAAAATTGGGCCTCATAGAGGAAGTGAGTAGAATTACGGGCATTAGAGGGTGTTGGGGTAATGGGGAGGGGAGGGTGGGGAAAGGTTGGTATATGAATACAAAATTACAGCTAGAGAGAAGAAATGAACTCTGGTGTTCCACAGCCCTGTCGGATAAATATGATTGACTGTAATTTATTGTATATTTTCAAAAAGCTGGAAGAGAGGATTTTACAATGTTTACAACACACACACACACACACACAAATGTCTGAGGTGAGGAATATGCTAATTAGCCTGATTTGATCATTATATATTTTATACACGTCAAATATCATTCTATATCCCCCAAATAGGCACAATTATTAGGTGTCAACTAAATATAAAATGGGAAAAGGTACAAAAAAAGAAGAAATGAGAGGAAAAAATGAACCTCCAGATTTAATCAAATTCACAATAAAATGAATAGCTGTGGCCGGGTGTGGTGGCTCATGCTTGTAATCCCAGCACTTCGGGAGGTCAAGGCTGGTGGCTCACCTGAGGTCAGAAGTTCAAGACCAGCCTGAACAACATGGAGAAACCCCATCTTTAGTTAAAACACAAAAAATTAGCCAGGTGTGGTAGTGCATACCTGTAATCCCAAGTACTCTGGAGGCGGAGGCAGGAGCCTCACTTGAACCTGGGAGGCAGAGGTTGCAGTGAGCCAAGATCATGCCATTACACTCCAGCCTGGGCAACAAGAGCAAAACTCCATCTCAAAAAAAAAAAAAAAAAGTATAGCTGTGATGGTTAATTTTGTGTGTAAGCTTGACTTGGTCACAGGGTGTCCAGATTAAACATCACTTATGGGTGCGTCTATGAGGGTGTTTACAGATTAGATTAGCTTTTGAATCACTGGATTCAGTAAAGTAGATTGCCGTCCTCATGTGTATGGACATCATTCAATCCACTGAGGGCCTGGATAGAACACAAGGCAGAGGAAGGAGGAATTAACCCATATTTTCTGCCTCATTGTTGAGTTGGGACATTTCATCTCACCCTCTTCTGTCCTTGGACTGGGATTTACAACATTGGCTTCCCTGGTTCTCAGGCCTTTGGACTCATACCAGAATTACACCACCAGCATTTCTGGATCTCCAGCTTGCAAATGACAGATTGTGAGACTTCTTAGCCTCCACAGTCATGTGAACCAATTTCTCATAATCAATGTCTCTTTCTCTCTTACTCCCTCCTATTGGTTCTGTTTCTCTGGAGAATCCTGACTAATACACTGGGAATAAGCATTTCCCCAAGCCCATACCATAGGTGTATATTAGTGTTTTTTTCAGTCTTTTCAAATCTTAAACTTAAAAATATTTTATTTATTTACAATTTCCCCAATTGGAAACAACTTGTATATCTCTGGACAGGGGAATGGATAAGGAAACTGGTAAATCCATACCAAGAAATAGGAGTCAGCAATGTCAGAGGTGATACATTCCTCTTCAAAAAGCATTAGTTCCCTGTTCTTTGTTGCTTAAGACCTACTTCCTTGTACTTCCTTGTCTCCTAGCTACCTGTTCTGTAAACAACCTTCCCACCTTTGCCGTGCCCAGACAAGTACAGATATGCCTTCCCACCTAGTAATGGACAGTGCCACTTCCTTCAAGCCTAATAGACTTATTCAATTTTAAACCTTAGCCAATTGAGTTAGCTTCGATTGTGAGGTCCAACCCCAGCCAATGGGGAAGGGACACAGAAGTGCTAGGAACTGCATCAGGGATAAAAACCCCTGCCCCACCCCTCTGAGTGTACTCTTGTGATCGTGACTCGTGCAAGCTGCACCCTTCTGCAGAAGTAAATTTGCCCTGCTTAGGAATTTTCTGCCTATGTGCTGGTTTTCTTTGAGGTACTGGGCACTTGTTTCTAACAGCAAGAAAAACAAACGGAGGTATTGGTACACAAAACAACATGGAAGGATCTCAATTGCATTGTGTTAAGTAAAATATACCAGATTCAAAGACTACATACTATATGATTCCATTTATATAATATTCTAAAAAGGCAAACATATAGGCCCAAAGAATAGATAGTGGTTGCAAGAGGCTAAGAGTGGTGAGAGAATCTGACTTTAAAAAGGTAGCATGGAGGAATTTTATTGACAGAGGTGAAACAATTTTGTATCTTGCTTATAGTGGTGGTTACACAAATCTATGCATTTGTCAAAACTCATACAATTATGCACCACATAAAGTGAACTTTTGAGTATATAAAGCATAAATTTAAAAATGTAAATTTCAATAAAAGTTTCACATATTTTTACCCAAATATTTGCTTTTTTTTTTTTAACGCAGTCTCGCTCTGTCACCAGGCTGGGGTGCAGTAGCCTGATCTTGGCTCACTGCAATCTCCACCTCCCGGGTTCAAGCGATTCTCCTGCCTCAGCCTCCCGAGTAGCTGGGACTACAGGTGCACACCACCACGCCCAGCTAATTTTTGTATTTTTAGTACAGAAGGGGTTTCACCATGTTGGGCAGGATGGTCTGGATCTCTTGACCTCATGATCTGCCTGCCTCAGCCTCCCAAAGTGCTGGGATTACAGGCATGAGCTACCATGCCTGGCCATATTTGCATTTCTTTCAATTATCATAATGGACTTTATAAGTTTTGCTGGAATGGAGCTGCTTATTTTTCTCTATTATAAAATGTAACTGATACTAAATTTATAGTTGCTGTCTTTGGCATCACATCCCTTTTCGTTTTTGTTTTTGTTTTTGTTTTTGAGACAAAGTCTCACTTTGTCACCCAGGCTGGAGTGCAGTGGTGCCATGATGGCTTACTGCAACCCAGGGCTCAAGTGATCGTCCAACCTCAGCCTCCTGAGTACCTGGGATCACAGGCGCTTGCCTACATGCCTGGCTAATTGTTATTTTTAATTTTTTGTAGAGATGGGGGTCCCACCTTATAGTGCCCAGGCTGGTCTTGAACTCCAAGGATCAAGCGGTCCTCCTGCCTCCGCCTCCCAAAGTGCTGGAATTACAGGTGTGGGCCACTGTGCCTGGCCCACATGTCAATTTTCAAAAATTTATACACGTTTAGTGGTTTAAATGTTTCAATATTGTATACATGTTAATTTTATCACGTGTGATCTATGTATAGCTCTATATTCCAAATTGTTCAGAATGACATGCTCTTTGGAATACTCCATTCTTTCCCTCACTGTTTTGAAATGCTGTATTTACTACATATTAAAGAACACTCTTAATCATGGTGTCTTATTTCCATGGAGCAGGTGCCAAACTACTTTGAATAGAGCAATATTATATGTATAGATAGATACAGCTATATATAGCCATTTCTCAGGCATTTTTTCCTGCTTTTTAAAACGTATACTGTCTGTTCATTTAGGTTTTTACTTACTGTGGATAAAGTTGAGAATGCTTTTGTAAAGTACACAATGCACTAAAGATCAAAGAAAAAATACAAAAATTTGTTGATGTTCTTTTAGGAATTTTGTCTTCCTAAGAAAGGTACAGAGAGACTAAATGTATTTCCATATAGTCAAGCAATTTTAATGTCACAGAGGAAATCATATGTCACATTTATTTTCTTCTTCTAGATTATGTCTATTTTCTCACTGAGCTACAATTCCCGTTTATTGCTTTAACGATTTTGATGAAGTAGCTTCCGAGGCACCTCCCCTTTCCTCCGCTCCCCCCAAAGAATCGCCGATAGTGTCAGTCTTTTAAATTGAATCGAGATCTACTTCCTAACATTTAACGTGAAACTGACACGCAGCTGTCCCTTCCTTGACGCGTCTGTGTCTAAACTGCACACTCACTGCCCACAGACCTCCCTTCAGTGCATCCCTTTGGGGCGCCCCGGGAGAGCCAGGGCTGCGGGCAGCTCCCGCACCAATTCAGACCGCATCCGCTCACTGCCTAGCGGGGGCACCTCTCCGCCAATCCCGAAGGCCTGCTCGCGCTGCCTCACGGGAAAGTTAGTTTCCAGGTTGGACGCCTACAGCGCCAGGCTTTGCGCGTGGGCTCTGCGCATGCTTGGGCCGTCGGCTCCCTCTTCTGCGATTTTGCGTTTCCGCCTTTCCTTGTTTGTCTCGGGTTTTGCGTGGGAGGCGGTCCCGGGATTTCAAGGGTCTGTGCGCTCTTCTATGGCTAATGCAACCGGATGAGGAAGCGGGGTAAGCCTAGGCGGGTTGGGCAGGGACGGAGAGAGTACCTCGCGCGACTCCGGGGGCAGGCGGCAGGGGACCAGTGCCAGGTGGTGGCCAGGAGTCCCGGGGACCTCACAGGGGAAGCCGGGGAGGGCGGGGCTGCAGCATGTCTGCCAGGACGCTAGGCCGGTTCGTCAAAGGCGCAGCCTCTGTACGGAGCGAGCTTCGCGACGTGTGTTGCCCCGTTTGCTGGGGCCCGGAGGAGGGCATGTGCGCTTGCGCGATCCGCGCGCTGAGCCTTGCGGGAGGGGCAGTTGTCTGGTCTAGCGTGTGCGCGTGTGCTAGGGCGGCGCGGTACCTGAGTGGGGAAGGGCGGGTGCAGTCGCACCCCCCACCCCCCGACCTACGGACTCCCTTCCCAGTTCTGCATTCATCCTCTCTAAGTTCCTAACTGCCCTCCGTCTTGTCCATCACTGCATCTTGGTATTTGCGGTTCCTCTGTCCTGACTTGATCTTGCACTCAGGAAGGATCTTAAAGAATTACATAATTTTGGCCTGGCTGGGTGGCTGTCTCCTGTAATCCCAGCACTTTGGGAGGCCGAGGCCGGTGGATCACCTGAAGGCAGGAATTCGAGACCAACCTGACCAACGTGGCGAAACCCCCTCTCTACTAAAAAAATAGGAAAAGTAGCCATACGTGATGGCGCATGCCTATAATCCCAGCTACTGAGGTGGAGAATTACTTGAACCCGGGAAGCGGAGGTTGCAGGTAGCCGAGATCGATATCGCACCATTGCA